GGCCACTTTTGACCTCTCAGCTCAATGGCTATTTGTGCCATTGCCTTCGAGCACTCACACGTTCAACGTGATGAGCCGGTTAGCCGATATCGGCAGTGAACCGCAAGGCTGAAGGCTTTCTTACAAGTTTTAGACTGTTTTGTTTGATAACTGCTGTTTTTACGCCGCAGTGCGCGATACGAAAGTTATCACAAGAATGCCGAGTTGTGGGCAAAAGTCGGACCACGGGCGGAACTCGAACCTCCGCGACTTCTTCTCAACCGCAGCATAAATTGCTTACCACTTACGCTACCGGCTGCCCACTTTTATTCTCAGCTCATATGCGTTATTTGTGCCATGCCTTCGACACTCACACGTTCAACTGATGAGCCTGTACCTATATCGGCCATGAACCGCGAAGCTAATCTTTCTTAAAGTTTAGACTGTTTTTTTGATAACTGCTGTTTTACGCCGCAGTGCGCGATACGAAAGTTATCACAAGAATGCTGAGTTGTGGGCAAAAGTCGGACACGGGCGGGACTCGAACCCGCATCTTCTGCTTACCGGGCAGTTGCGTTACCACTTACGCTACCGGGACCACTTTGACCTCTCAGCTCGAATGGCTATTTGTGCCATTGCCTTCGACACTTCACACGTCAACTGATGAGCCGTTAGCGATATCGCCATCAACCGCAGCGCTGAAGGCTTTCTATACAAGTTTTAGACTGCTTTGTTTAAACTCGTTTTTACGCCGCAGTGCGCTCCGAATACGAAACGTATAATCGACAGAAATGCTGACTGGATCGGCAAAAGTCGGCACCACGAAAGGCATAGTTCTGTAAGCATCCTTGAAGACAAACATGAGGCGAGTTCTCATGGGATCCGGAAATCAGTAACACTGAGTTAGCATTTGTGTGTCTATGCCGAGAGGTGTGACTTCTATCGTTTCATGAGGTTTCGACTGAGTCTTTGTCCTTCGAGTACTTACGATCTGGCTCACAAAGCGCTCATGTTGTCTAGCGATTTTGGCATCCTATAAAGGGCTTCGAAGGAAATTCCAAGCAATTAAAGACACAAACGCGGGTTTCCACAATTCGGACAGAACACCACACAATTGTGCGTTAGCAAGCGGATGCGTACTGTATTCCCTTCTGACACTAGGGGACGCAAGTAATGTTGTTCGTATCCTACCGTTCGCATTGCTATACAAGTGCAAAGCCTCATGGATTATCGAGAGCACACATCTTGATCATAACTGGATTTTTTTAGTGTGTTGGGAGTGCTGTCTCATGCTTCAACATGTGCATGTTTCGAGCTCAATGCTATTACCCTTCTCATGCTTCTGCTTCCCAAGAGCTCTACAACGTACCTGCGTCTCACATCAGCTAGGTGTTCTCGGATGCACTAATGAATTCATTCTTACTCCTACAATCGAGGTTCTATGGTAAGCTACGATAAGTTAGGTACTGTCTTCTCACTTACCTGTAGGGAATTGCTTCAATTCAATTAACGATTTTTTTAGGATGTTCACTGACTGAACGTGATCGTGTTATAGGCTCTTCGCTCTTATCTTGATCTGAGTGGCAGCAGTTGTTTGTCAGATACACGAGACGAGGACACGTTGTTCTGACGTGGGACCTTGCTTTGAAGTGTTATGCCATTTTTGTGGCCTTCTTGTCGCATAGTTGTTAGCTGTGGCTATTTTCGTACCCACTGCTGTGATTGGTGTCCATTCACATCACCTATACATATGGTGTAGCCGTTTTGAGCACAGCCAACAACGGCACGTTCTCAGCATTAGGATGGGCGGATATCCCTTCAAATTGAATGTTAGAAGCTACTTTAGCGGTACCATCCTACATAAATAACTACATTGTGTACTTTCACCTACTGAGATACTGAGACCACTCGTCCTGTGGCGCTCAAGTACGTAAGGCAGCCCTTCGAAATTTGCGACGGCAGCGCTTGGGTGTGGCGCGTTCGAAGCGATAGATACACATGCTTTCGACTGCGTCGATGGTGCGGCCGAAGCCATACCGTCGCGGAATTTAGGAAATCCAGGTAGCTTAAACTTTATTACCGTCGCACCAGTTTGACACCACATTCACTCCCAGAACAATATTGGATCTTATGGAGAGTTTCTTTGAACTTTTCGCCCAACATTCATCGTTCTGTGTGCGTTTATGAACATTCTCAAGAATATGATACATCATCATTCTGTCAATAGGATGATAATGAGCAAACTTCTCCTTTTTGGGAGCATGATACACACTTTTTGCCGGCTGAGTCGAGCAAAGAGACAACTGCCAATGATGCAAAACCATAGGTGATCATCGAGGAGTCGTCCAAGAAGAATCCCAACAGTACTGTAAACATCAGCCGTGTCGAGTCAAAGATCAGTGAAAAGCGTCTGAAATTAGTCAGTCATAGAAAACTTTGAGAAAGGCGCAATTCCTCCAAGGAACTAAAAAAAAACAAAAAAAATATGATTTCTTTGAGAATTTGACAATAAGAACTCGTTCACAGAACACCTTTATTGGTGAGCTTTCCCTGTCCGAAGTCCAGATAGCTCAAACTTTATTACTGTCGCACCAGTTTGACATCACATTCATCCCCAGAACAAAATGGATCTTATGTAGAGTTTCTTTGAACTTTTCGCCCAACATTCATAGTTCTGTGTGCGTCGGTATTAGCACCGAAGCCAGTTCCAGCTGAAGCTGAAGTGAGGTTAGTGCAGGCTCCAAGGCTAGTGCAGCCTTGGAGCCTGCACTAGCCTCACTTCAGCTTCAGCTGGTACAAGTTTACGTAAACGAGAGGTCGGCAAGGTTTGCATCGAACATGACTGAGAAAAGACGAAGTTTAGAAAGCTTTTGCTTTCGAGAAACGACCTTCGCTATAGCGTGAGTGACAAAAATGGAGATTTCGTTGTCCTCACGCAATCAATGGATAAAACCTTGGTCGGCAGTCTCTCTCTGATAGCACTACGTATGAGATGTCATCGCTTCGAGATTTCGAGAAGGTGTCCGATGAGTTACGACGCACAACAACGCGAGTCCTAAGCAAGATTATGGATGTGAGAACCACAAAACGCTTCATTTTGACATATCCGACTGTTCCAACGTATTATGCATTGGTCAAGACGCACAAGTTTTCTGAAGATGTGGACTTAGGTCATGTCGAAGAGCACTTGATCAAGACCAGACCAATCATATCATCATGTGGAGGACCTTCGGATAGAGTCAGCTGGTTTCTCACAAAGCTCCTATCGCCGCTGCTTCAACACGTGGCTGCTCATTTGGTCAACGTAGGAGAATTCATATCAGCTTTGGACCGCTGTGACGTCCCTGATGATGCTTCATATGCAAGCTTCGACGCGGTTTCCTTATACACGAACGTGGACAATAACGAAGCCGTCGACAGGTCAACCTGGAAATTCTGCGACAACATCAAGAAGTATACGCATGAGGAAGACTTACGAGAGCTGCTATTGGCTACTTCAAAATGTAACATCTTCCAATTCGATGGAGTGTTCTATACACAGAAACGAGGGCTTGCCATGGGATTGAGGATATCGCCGTTACTATTCGTTACTGTTTAATATTCGGATCGCATTGTGAGAAGATCTCTGATTAGTGGAATCATATTTTATAAACGCTACATAGACGATGTCTTTCTCATCAGTTCCACCGCCGATGCGATGAACACGATGCTTCAAAATCTGAACTCGTGTGATCCCAACATACGTTTTACGGTGGAACATCCTGATGAGCGCGGCTTCCTTCCGTTCCTCAATACGAAGGTTCGGATCAACCATGGCATCAAGGAACTCGAATGGTATAGGAAACCGATGTCAAGAAATATCCTTATTCTCGGAGTGCACAGCTGAAGGCTAACGCGATAAGGAATCTTATCACAACGAAGACCAACACCTGCACTAGGGAATCAGTAGAGGTGGACCGAAAAATAGCGATGATCTTGGAAGAGAATGGTTTCAACGTGGAGACCTTTTTTTGCTGTTGGACGGATACCACTGGTATTACCCTACGTCAATGAGACGAATCGCGAAGAAAGTGAACCACGCCGTTAAGTCGTCGCGTCTTCCAATCAAGCTAATATTTCCGACCACCTGCAAATCTAAGAAGCTTACTGACATCATCTCGGATTTATGAAGACAAATGTGGCCGAACGAATTGCACGTACTGCACAGAAACTAAAATCTGTCAGTTACGTGGAACAGTTTACCTGGTCACATGCGAAGGATGCGGTCAAAGATACGTAGGCGAGACCATGCGACCACTACATAAAAGGATGGATGAACATGTGCGAGCGTTACGCAATCCCTCTTCCTACCCTAAGAGCGGATTCTCGCGGCATCGTGTTCTGCACCACCAGCAAGAAGCACCCCCCGCTCTAAAAGTGACTGTTATACACCGCACGAAGGAAGCCCCATTAGAAAGAAAATTGCTCGAAGCCCTCACTATCAAGCGGCTATCCCCCGAGATCAACAACAGGGAGGAGCTCATGGAAGCAATGAGGCTAATAGGATAGCGGTAGTGATAAAGAAATGTGTCAAATGTCACGCGCGTCACATTTCTAGCGACTTTTAGTTGCATTGGCAGTTGCGCTGGGGTAAGCTGGTCATCCATTGTAGTTTAATTGTTGACAGTTGCACGTTTCCCATTGTATTAGGCATTGTATTACAGACTCTAACCAAATTGCCGTTGACGGGCAGGTCAACCTGGTTTGTATTTCGAGCAACTTAGTTGTTAGGAATTGTAATACCATGTATACTTGATTTCATTTAAGGTCTGAGGAAGCTGTTAAGACAGCGAAAGCTCACCAATAAAGGTGTTCGTGAACGAGTTCTCATTATCAAATTCTCAAAGAAGATCGTATAACCTATGAGGCCCAGGGATAGCTCAATTTTATCATATCTGAAAAAAATAATAACAAACTTGTGGTCGAAATAGTAGCCAAACATTTGTATGTACATGACTAGAAAAGCGAGTCGGCATAGGAATTCAGTCCAGTCTAGAGAACAAGCGGATGATAACGAATTGCAGAAAGCAAATCAGAAGAAACAGCCATTGTGCTAGCAGATAGCAGCGAATGGGGACTGCTAGAGGAGGGTTATAACGAACAATAGGACTCTCGACCTGCAAATAAAGTTGCCCTCAAAACTCCTTCTAGGAATATCAAAACCACCCTTCAGTGCTCATCGGATGCGGCTCATTCCGTACGAGAGTCACAGTTCAGTACATATATGTCTTACTAATGCCGTAATTGATAAGGGTGGGGCCCACCTCAGGAACTCCATCTGTATGATCCTGTAGAGATAGCCATAAAAAGAACGGTTTTGTTTTCATTCCTGGAAGGTAAGCTGGCGGCCAGAGAGCAGCCTTCATCTGCAATGATCATCATTGCTAAATACATAGCAGCTTTGCACATTGTTAAATACATGTCTTTTACATACGGAAGCACTGAGCTGTTTCAGTTGCTCAAAAAAAAGCTTCTGGCCACAAATGCAACTCCCACCTTATTCCATGAACCTGGAAAAATCTCCTCGTTTTCCTCGTTCCTCATCTGACCTTTATCGTAGCCCATAGCCTTGAATTCGAAGAACTAAAAAAAGCTGTTCACAGTTCCTCCGTTTGACTATCAAAATGACAATCATTGCACAAACCTCACACCACATAACATCAAATGATTTCACTGGGGTAACAAGTCCGAACGCGATCTCCTCGTCCATGCGCTCCGCTGCGTATGTGCCAAAAAGTCTGAAAATGTATGCGCCTTCTGGACATAATTTCTGAGCAATTATGAAAATGAAATAGAAAATGGTTTCAGACTGAAATCACTCCGGAGGACGGGGAAATTTGGAAATATCCAGTGAATATCGCTTGATGTTACCCAAAATTCAGATGGAAATTTGGGCAACATCAAGCGAGGAATATGTCCTCTAATAAATTCTTCAGTCTATTCGCCTTTCAGCGAGCGGAGAGAGCGAAGACCTTTGTTTGAATATAGTTGATAACTCATCACCTGTCCCATATGATGAAAACGCCGCCATAGTTCCTGTCGACGCAGTATGGGTTCCTGCCGTGATGGACACGGTGGCTGGACGGAGTACAAATTATGTACTCAAGTGGGCCGAGTGGAGGTATGCACTGAAGATTCACTATTAGGCTCGCTTTTGCATACTTGGTCCTTGTTATTCATATAAAATCTTACACTCGCGTGAAGCCAGAATTGGAAGAGGATAACCAGGTAGCGGTGAACTATAAATACGTTAGGTGGGATGGCAACGGCTTGAAGCAGGTCGAAAAACGTCATTGCAACGTCCTCAATTGATTAGGAATTATTGACTAATATCGAGTTGTGGCTCAGATTTAGAGTTCTACTGGCCTTTCAAGATGCTATCCCTCAAGATCACAACTCGCTTTGCATGTGGAAAATAGCTCCTCTGTCAGATCTCCTGGTCATTTAGAGCTTCGCTCAGTAAAGGCCACGAATGTGCGGGCTTCAAAATATTCAAGAGGCGCTGCAAGCCGTGTCACGTAGTGTTGTATTTTGGAGGTCCGCGTAGTAGTATCAGTAGAATGTGACTCAGGTAATGTGGCTGCAGGCTGTGCCCACTGGCATCCTACCCGTCATTTGTTAGGAAGCTCCAGCGACTCGACACCCTTAGTCCACACAACAGCTGCGTTCGTGGTAATTTGGTCACATCCAGAGGAATTGCACGAGTTGAGGGATTAGGACGCTCACTCAGTTGGGGTAAGACTCTATCAGAAGCTTCCACTCGGAAGGACAGGCATCCAAAACCTCTGCCCTCTTTTATGAATAATCACATTGAAGTACCTGAATCGGCTCCCATCCGTGCACCAGTAGTAAAGTTGTAGTACTCAGAGGAATGATGAATTTGATGAAAGGACCAGAATATCCCTGCTTTTAAAAAGTGAAATCATGGAAAAGGACGTTTTAGAGTCTGTACATGGGACAAAAAAGAGTTCTATTTGCTGTACCAAAAACCAATGTATCCAATCGCTTAGGCAGCGTTCAGACATAGCGACGGCAGTTTTTCGGTGGCGCGTCCGACGCGACCGATGCAGTTAAAAGCATGTACATCGAACGCGCCGAACGCGCGACCGAAGCGCTGCCGTCGCGAAGTCTGAACGCTACATTAGGATGGCGAAAATGAAAGATATAGCTGATTGGCCTTCCTTGGGAGAGGAAGTTCGTTGTGTGAAAAATGATGAATCTGCACGCGATTCCCATTAAAACCTTGTGCGGCGTGTTCGTGTGAAAAACATGGGCTTTTCTTGCGAGAGCATCATCCTAGTTCTGACTTCCGCTTCCATTTTTTTTACGAGATGCTGCACTGCTGCCCACAGTACGGCATCTCATCAGAAAAGATCAAGACATGAGAATGCCTTATTTATTTCACACCATTTCTGCTCCACAGACATGTTTCACGTTCGCTGCAAATGTCGTCAGCGTACCGGGTAGTGTAGTACCTCCTATAGCTGTACTACACTGCCACGTCTTTTATTTCAGTCGACGCATAACATTCTCAGGAGCGAGAATGATCTTTGGGCCAAATGAGTGAGCATCCTGTCACGACAGGAACGAAAGCCCCCACCGAATAACTGGAGTGACGCTCAGCACAATTTCGCATTCTCGTACTTCTACGAGTTTCCATACGTCTAAAGTAACCGCACGTCCCGAGTTTCCTCCGAAACGTCATCACCTACATATTGCGGAGAATGCTGTGCAACACCTCTCCCACAAGCTAAGCTTACCATGTATAGCTCGATGACCGAGATAATAGACGAAATCCTGTGTGAAAAGGCACAGTAACCACGTGAAAGCAGAGTTGTCTGGAAGATCTATGACGTGCAGTCGATTGTACACCATCGGATAGAATGAAGCTGCAAGAAAGCGACCTCCGCTCCTGGAATGAAATGGAATGAGAATGACAACTTTTTTGTACCAGAGACGCTACTGCTACTCAGAATCAAACTGCACACTCACCTCCATAAATCCTGGCTCCTGTCGTGGGTGAGGAGAGCGGTCGTTATGTGCAGTATCGCACAACTTTCTCCAGTCAAAAGTACGCGAAAAGGGGACCGGGGTAGGGGTGACCTCCATACATCGTTTGCGCTGCCGCACGGTCAAGGTCCACGGACACTTTGAACTCAGTTCCTTTGAACGCGGCGGAATTGTGTTTTTCTCTGCTCTCTCTCTCTCTCTCCGTCCTC